ATTCTTTTTAGCAGACCTACCTAACTAAGCCTGTAGATATAGGTTGTCATTGAGCTGACCTATAGATTACCCCCTGTGATCACAGGAAAGCAAAAGAGATTAGGAGATGATTAAGACTCAGCCCAACACTGCTGCCTCAGCCACTAGAACAATGGAGCAGTGTTGAGGAGGAACTGGAAAAGACAGGAAGAAACCAGCTCACCAACGCTTAGGGCAAACTTCATATTTCCAGCCCCACAACATCACAAGTTGGTGATGTCTTCAGCTATTAGGCTTTTAGTCATTTGTTACAGTATCAGAAAGTAAAGTGTATATACCTATGTCTAAAGTATACATATGTGTCTTGAACTGCACATATGCATATACATGTCTGTGATAGATTGTCTTCATGTGTGTGTTCATGTGTGTGGATGTGTAGGTATAGTGTAAATGCTGTATGGGTGGAGGTCAGAGGTCAAGCTTGAGCATCTTTCTTTAGGCAACATACATTTCAGGTTTTTGTTGAGACAGAGTCTCTCAGTACCTGGAACTCACCAAGTAGACTAGGATGGCTCCTTAGCAAGCCCCAGAGGTCTACTTCCTCTGTGTTGGGTTTATAAGCACACACCACCAAGCTTGGTACTTTATGAGTGGAGCATCATCATGCTTGTGTGGTTAGGGTCTCACCAACTGAGCTATGTTTTCCAGGTGTGTGTGTGTGTGTGTGTGTGTGTGTGTGTGTGTGTGTGTATTATAGTCACTGATCTACTCAGAGTATCTAATTAAAATAGTATAACTTTCAAGTACAAGCTAAAGTTGGCTACTCCTAAATCCAACAATGCCACAAATGTGAAAACTTTTTCAGTGTCCACATGGTGCTGTAAATGGAAAATTCCACACCTGAGCTCAGTAACAGGTTATGGTCAAAACTCTTGAAATACCTTCAGGCCAAGTGTGTGTGCGTGTGCATTTGTGCACATGCATATATGAATTTTGTGTTTGGACTGGGATTTTTAATGCCTGGGAGATCTCCTGATATATATGCAAATATCCCAAAATCCAAAACAAACTGCAAAGCACCTTTCCTACACTTGAGGATTTGGAACTTGTATAGCACAGTAGTGTTGAGTGGGACAGTAGTATCCAAGAGCTCTAGGCACTGGAGGGAGACTTTCTACAGCCATAGTTCTCCCAGTGTGTTACAAGCACTTTCCCTACTGGCCTGGTCCCAGAGCCACATCAGTCCCAAATAACACACAGAGATGCTGTATTAGATATAAAGCTGTTGGCCTGTTACTAATGTTTCTTACTGGCTAGCTCTGTCTTCAATGTTAACCCATTTATATTAATCTAAATATTTCCATGTGGTCTTATCTTACCAGAGAGAGGATCTGGACCTCTTCTCTCACATCCTACATCTTGACTCTCCTCTACTATATCTCCCAGAGTCCTCCTTGTCTCTTAGTCCCACCTATCTTGGTTTCCTATTTGCCAACAAGGCTTTACTCATTAACCAATAAGAGAAACATATGTACAGAATGACATCTCCCATCACCAGTGAAGTGGTTGTTTTCAGCTGCCAAAAAAAAACCCCACTAATCTTCTTATGCTTCATTGAGTTATTTTTTTCAAGAGAAGCAGACATACATCCACCTAAACAGCAGCCAAAATAAGCTTTGAAAAGTCTACACATGTGGCACAGTGACCCCTGTAGAGTGCTCAGCACATGTCTCTGGTGGGAAGGTATGCTGCCAGCAGAAGGGCTCTGCAGGTACCTAGTGCCCCATCAAGCAGAAACTCCCTACCCATTCCATCATTCCCTGTGAGTTTGACTGCTGAATTAGTTACTTTTCTTGTTGCTACAACAAAATACATGACAAAAACAACTTAAGGGGAGGGTTATTTTCATTCCAAGCATGAGGATACAGACCATCACACTGGGGAAAACATGCCAGCAGGAGCAGGTGGCAACTGATCACATTAGGTCTTTAGCCAAGAAGCAAAGAAATAAATGCTGACATTCCCCTAGCTGTCTCCACCTACCCAGGGTGGACTCAAGCTTAGATGACCCTGCTTACACTTAGGCTAGATTACCTCACCTCATCCCAATCTAAATAATTCTGCACAGACATTCACAAAGGTTTGTCTCTTCATTGAACCTACCAAGTTAACAGTGTTAACCATCACATGTACTCCGATACCTCATATAAGTGTAGTCATTGTGATGAGTTTATTTTACTCAGCATGTCTTCAGAATCTTCCCGTGTTACCTGGGTTAACATTTTCTTCCTTCTGTTTTATTTTTGGACTCTGTTGAAAAGGGTGAGCCCCTGGTGTGATCCTTATCGACCAGAGTAGCTTACCACACTCAGTTGAGCCCGTGACTATGGACCCTCAGAATGTAGGTAGTAAGTGGAGGGTGGCATCTTGTGGGATATCGGGACTGAAGGTACATCTGGTAGACCCTAGAGAGGATCACAGTTGCTCAGAGGTTCTTTGCAAACTTGGGACTGAAGGTACATCTGGTAGACCCTAGAGAGGATCACAGTTGCTCAGAGGTTCTTTGCAAACTTGGGAAATACAAAAGACCAAACAGATTCAGAGATGCTTTTCCAGTTGGGGGCCAGCTCAGGTGCACCAGCCCCATGCTAGGCTCACCCTCATACCTGACATTTATAAGTCCAAAGTCAGTGCAGCAGTCAGTCAGAACAGTCAATTTAGGAGTCAGCTTGTGAGAGAGAAAATAGAGTAGAGCAGCAAATACAACTGACAGAGGTGTGATCTGGCTTCTTAAAAATACAGAAATAAGGAACTGGGGAATTGGCCCAGTAGTTGAGAGTGCTCACTGCTCTTGTAGAATATCTGGGTTAGGTTTCCAGCACCCACATGGCAACCCACAAGTGCCTGGAACTCCAGTTTCAAGGTATATGACACTGTCTTCCTACCTGCAAGAGACCCTGCACATACGGTGCACAGACATAAATTGAGGCACACACTAACTAACACATACTAACATAAATAGTAATCTTTAAAGATGTTTAAATATAGAAGTAACACAAGCTAGAAATCATTTATGAGGAAAGTGTCTCTATTTCAAAACAAATGCTTGCCTTCTCTCCTGATGTTCAGTCCATGCCTTCTATTTATCTACTTGGAGAGAATCAGTGACTGATCAGAACATGACAATTAGGAGGGCTTCAGAATTCCTCTTACCTCGAAGTCTAGAACAGGAAAAAATATATAAGACGTTATTTTAGTGCTGTGGGAACAGTCAATAGGTGCTGAAATTGAATACTTACTCATTGCCCCGTTTCCCATCACCTACTAATGGGATCACAGCACAACCATGGCTGAATGCACACAGGGCTGAGTGTGCATAGGGATGAGTGTGCACAGGGCTGAATGCACATGGAGCTGAGTGTACAGGGAGCTGAGCGCACATGGAGCTGAGGGTACACAGAGCTCAGTGCACACAGGATTGAGTGTGCACAGAGCTGAGTGTACACAGGGTTGAGTGTACAGGGAGCTGAGCATACACAGGGCTAAGGGCGCACAGAGTTGAGTACACAGGCTACATAGACTGGATGCTTCTATCAACAGTTTGTAAACAGCATATGTTCTCTTCTCACTTCCACACCACACAGTAGGCAGTCATCCCTATCCCTCTTGCATCAATAGTGGGTCTAACAGGAAGAATTTTGCTAGGTAGAACCAGAGAGAGAAAAATGAGTGACACCATCCAGTGCCCACTCAAAAGGTTCTGAAATTTCTGACAGTGTTTCTAAAGAGTGAGGTGGCCTGATGGGATCTCATTAAATGGTATTCAGAGCTATCTTAATAAAGAATGGAATGACTATCCATGCTCACCATCTAGAGTTGGAGATGCTTCAACAAGTATTAAGCTGCAGGGCACTAGGAATATATAAGGAAGGATGGCTTAAGATTATTCATCACCTAAGGAGCAAGCAGAGACCATTCACTGGTGTCCCCAAAAGAGCCTTCTGATTTGTGTACTAGTAGTGAATTGTGGTTTTCAAACTGTTCAGTTGTTTCCCAATACCCTGAAGCCAACAGAGAGACACACATTCACAGATGGTTGAAACAGTGGGTGAGTAGACAGCTTTAGAAAAGCATTTTCAAGTGCCATCCTTGGCATTTTTTTCCACTGGCCCACAAGATGCCATCATCAAGAGTTACTGTCTCTAGTCTTGATGATTCGGGCCATGGAGGGCATGGAGGACCTGGTCTTGGTGTACTCATTCAGGCTCTGGAAAGACCTTTGTGCAGACTGTATCAGCCAGCTAATGCTGTTGTAACAAATATCATCTTGCCTTAAAATAGTGCTGGGTTCTCACGGCAGAGAGCAGGAAACAGAACCGCCAACCCCATAACCACAATAAAAGCTTCTGTTGAATGGGGGTGTGGTAGGATGGCTTAGTGGTTCAGAATGCTTGGTCCACGATTAGGAAATGAGAATTTGCATCCTAGCACCCATGATTATCTCTGCAAATATCTGTAACCCCAGCCCAAGGGGAGATGCCAACAGGAAGACTGCTGGGGCTTTCTGGCTTCCAACCTAGCCAAAACATTAGCCCTAGTTCAGAAAGAGAACCTGCCCCTGAGGCATAGGGGAAAAGAGATGGAACACAATAATAACTTCTTCTGGTCTCCAAACATACATGCACACACACACACACACACACACACACACACACACACACTAAATATCTTTTTTAATCTGCTGTTGAGACATAACCAGTTCCATGTCCACTCACACTCCATTGAACTAAGCATGTGCTATGATACAGATAAGGTATATGATCCCACTCCAGGGAGGGAGGGACCAGCTGGGATATTATTTAACCTGCCATGGGAGGTTAACTAGATGACAGCTCAGGTCACCCTCTGTTCTGAAGCCCTGGAATTACTTCCAGAGTTGATGACAAAGCTCTCTAGATCTGTCTCTTTCCCCATTCCCATTCACCCACCTCCAGCTTATTTTCTTTTCTCCTTCTGGGCAGGTGGGTGGCCGGTCAGTGGAGCCCCTGCTCAGCAACCTGTGAGAAGGGTGTCCAACATCGGGAGGTGACTTGCATGCACCAGCTACAGAATGGCACACATGTCACTACTCGGCCCCTCTACTGCTCAGAACCCCAGCCGACACCAGTACAGAGCTGTGAAGGCCAGGACTGCCTGTCTATCTGGGAGGCATCAGAGTGGTCAGAGGTGAGTGCCACTGAGACTGAAGCCATGCAAGTTCCTGTAGGCCTTAACCACGGGGCCCACTGGGTGCTGCCTGCTCCAGGGCATTTGTAATTCATCCCCATGTATCGAGTCCTCTCTCTGCCCCTTGATTACATCACAAGTGCACTCCAGCTACTTCCTTGAGCCTCATCTACAATAACAACATAGCTAAAAACAGACAAACAAACATACATAATGTAGTTTTGAGAATGGACATGTGCACACCACTGAGAAAGTACTATTCGATTCCGTTTCTTGTACAAATTCTCACCCGGAGATGATAGATAGATAGATGACAAATGATTAGTAGATAAATGATGGATGGATGGATGGATGGATGGATGGATGGATGGATGGATGGATGGTTGCAGGAGTCAGGCACTGGGAGGGACAGCCTTTGGTATGCAAGTCCGAGTTACAAATCTCTCTCACTCACACACACACACACACACACACACACACACACACTTGTTGGAAAGAAGTCAAAGTCAAGGTCAAGGCCTAAGTTTTAAGTACAAAGGCCAATCCTGGGAATACCATTTTGTCTTGGTGAAGTCATCTTTCAGGGCTTTGCCTTGACATTACAATTATGTTGATTTTTTGGATACAAAACAAACAAAAAATAGCTAAATAAAGGGACGGACTTCTCTTGGTTCCACCAAACCAGAGTAGTCTAGGAAACTTAAGGAGGCCAAATCCAAGACACTCTTCAGAATGGAAAATATTTTTAAAGTTCCCTTTGATTGCCAAACATAATTATTTTGAATAAAAAAGTATTCAGGACATTTTTAATGAACAGAAAGCTTGCCATCAGCTGCTCTAAACTGAAGTTTCATTTCAGACAAATATGGAAATGTGCATCTTTAAGGACTGAGACCCTCATCCTGCCCTCTATGATAGTTGATGAAGGGGGGATTTCAGCACTGATTGTTTTTTGTTGTTATTGTTTTGTTTTTTTCTTTATATACACTTAGGTTTCTAGTTTCTTATTCATGGGAATTCTTCCTCAGTTCTTGAGATAGAAGCATGTGAAGTCCCCTCCCCTCCTCTAGGCCAGGTGATCCCCAGGGCTTGGACCACCTCAATCTCAATCAAACAAGACTTGTTCTTTAATCAGATCAAGTCCCCAAACTTTTCACTCAGACTCTTCCCTGTGAGAGAAATAAAATCCATTCCAAGTCCTATCACAGCAGGGAAGACCACCATGTGAGAAGCATGAACCACCAAATCAGGATTTAAAGACATTCCTCTATGCCTGTCCCTCTGCACATGGCTAATCCTAACCCTGAGCCAGTGTCCACATGAATCCATCTGATGCTGTCAGCCTGAACATGGAATCTAACCATCCCCTTTGAATCATCCACAAAGCTGGCATTCTGTCCCCTCTGCTGTGAGTCAATATGCCTATGGCCCTTCTGTTAGGAACTGTTTTTTTTTTTTTTTTAAATGGGGGAAGAGACTTAGAAGTTTATTCACCCCAATATTGATCACCCTCACCACCCACCTTCTCCCCTGCTTCTTCATGACTTTAATGGAAGGAAGATCAACTATCAGAAGGAAGTTCCAGGTTGCTGGGAACCCTCTTTCCCTCAGCTTCTTGGCCCCATCCTGAGGAGCAGTACAGAGAGATGGAGTATCACCCTCCTGGATCAGTTGCAACATCGACTGCCGTTGCCTTCCTCAGGGCTGAGAGCCTAAAGGGAATGGGATACTGAGCATAGAGGGCAGAGCCAGGCCTTAGCCAAGGAGACAGCTGGACAGCAGTGACTGAAACTCCAGAGAGGGCAGGAAACACAGACTAGAGTAGGATGACACCGGAAATGGTCATGAGAAAAGGTGTTAACTTGGCCCTGTAGTTGCTGGGCACAGGTATCAGGACATAGCCCACAAGTTCAATGGTAAAAGTGGAGTTGCTGAAGTAGTCAGGAAATGGCCACAGGGGGAAACAGGACAGCCTCTTGGGGCAGAACAGAAGGGCTCTGGCAGGCGTGAGCATGCGCGGGCAGGCCTTGTCCTTCCCGCTTCCCTCTCCTTTGGTATACTATACATACATCCCTAAAGCTAGCCAGCAAGGGAGCTCTAGATACCCAAACATTGAAGCCCGATCATCAGAAGCCCCCCTTTTGGCTACCCTAATTAACATGCCCAGTCCAAACAAACCAACTCATCCATCCTAACATGGGAGTCACCCTTTTCCCTTTGTAAACTGCCATTTGACTATGGGCCACATCTGCTTTATCCAGAGGCAGGTCCTTTGTCCCTCTGGGAAAAATATCCCTTCTCCCTTTTCTCACCTCTTTTGTAAATCTCTTTTGTGCTGAGGACTTGGTCTTGGAGTGTCCTGTGCCATCACTACAGTGACCTGGGTTCACTGCAATGGCCCTGCAAGGCCACAAGGCCCACTGTCCTCAAGTTTGCTATGGAGTGGTCACTTTTACCTAGCCCTTTACCACACCTGCTTCCCCGGATCTTCCAGGTGACCCCTGTTCTGAGACATGTGTCTGCCTTTTGAGGCAAGTCAGTCAAGCTTAATCTCAAAATACCCCTGGAGGAAGAGTTCACACAGGGCCAGAGAGGTGGCTCAGTGGTTAACAGCACTGGCAACTCTTAGAGAGGACCTAGGTTCAGTTCCCAGCATGCACATGGTGGCTCACAACTGGCTGTAACTGTACTTCCAAGGCACACAATGTGCCTTGGACTCTGAAGGCACCATCACATGTGTGGGGCACATACACTCAAGCTTATACACATATACATAACATTTTAAATAAAAAAAGAACTTCATAAGAATAAGGTAGGTAGGTATAACTTTAGGATAAGCATCAATAACTCAAATGTCAAAAATAATGCTTACCCTCTGTGTATGTATTTTTTTTTCTGGACATGATTGAACTTTTAAAAAGTTTAGCTCATTATCCCTCAGGCACTACATATACTAAACTGAGCTAGCCTGAAGTCTGCTCTGCAGAATGCAGCCTTTTGCCTCCTCCACTTCTATGTGGGAAGACGGTGCTGCTCCTGGAGTCACACATAACAAATTAAAGGGGTGGGGGCTGCCTGAGCTGCAGTCTGTATTCCTTCTGCCTTCTGACTAAGGATTGCAGGCCATATCCCCTCTGCTCATCCGCCAATGTGTGTCTACTCCGTAGACCAAGCCGGCCTCAAACTCAGAGATCCATCCACCTCTGCCACCCAAGTGCTGTGAACCACCTCTATGAGTTTTTTGTCATTCGTTGTTGCATGAGGACATTGCAGTCTTGAGCTCTTGAGGGCTTGATCATCATTAGTGATTCCTCGGGCTCTGCCCAGATCCCCTCTCCAAGCTGTGTCTTGCCTTCTAACAAGTAAAGCATGCTACTGTGTGGAATGCTGGTCTCTCCATTCTTGATATCCACACTGAAATCCCAGGCTTGCCTTACAAGAAACACCCACAGCTTCTAGCCGTCGCCTCCTTTCTGATCAAGGTCTTTGCCTTGTGTATCTAGAGGCCAGCTAGCTCAGATCTTTTTACGATCAGATCCCCACTTGTCACCAGCTGGCCCCTGCTTCTCCTGCCAGCTCATGCTATTTGCCCTTTGAACTTTTTCCCTGAATTGATCTTTTAGACCTAGCAGCTGGACATTAAATTCTATTTTCCTCATTTGACCACCTAGGTATCATGAGTTCTTCTGAGTCCGGTCTCCTGTATCCATCTTTGGCCACCTGGCTAGGGTCCCCTGAGGGAATAACAAGACTGAAAACCATGAACATTTAAGGATGGCATGTGTAGCATCATCATCTCTGCTTCCCCATTTATGGTACCCAGTGGGGATTTCAGTGGTGTTAATGAACTTGAAATGAACTGGAATGTACTAAGCACCCGTGCTCTGTCTTACAGTGCTCTGCTGACTGTGGCAAAGGGACCCAGAAACGAACTGTGACATGCACCAACTCTCAAGGAAAATGTGATGCATCCACAAGGCCAAAAGCAGAGGAAGCGTGTGAGGACTACTCTGGCTGCTATGAGTGGAAAACTGGGGACTGGTCTAAGGTGAGAACAGTGTGTTGGGTTTCCCTCTGGCCATGGCAGCGTGAGCTAGCATGGGCTGATCTGCTGGAGCTCAGAATGGGGCAAATTCACTTCCTTTCCCCACTCCTCAGAACTGTATTCACTGTTGAGCCCGCGTGCATCCTCTCTGCTCTTTTCAGCCAGCCGGCACTGCTCTTTTCAGCTTGCTGGGAGCATCCCACTGTGGTATGTGCATCTGGAAGTAAAACAAATGCAGCCTAAAGCACACAGTCGGTGTCCCCTTGCAGCATGCTGGTGGTACCCCAGCAAACTACCATAGCCTAACCACATAGCTACCCATAATGAAAGCCTCCCAAATCTAGGAGCTAGGTTACACTGACCCATTTCAAGGCCTGTGAAGTGTCATTCACTTTGTAAGCAAGAGCCTAGAGGCTGCAGGGTAGAGAAGGCAGGAGTCCTTGGAGATGTTGAAGCGCTGTGGTTCAAATGGCAGTTGACTGTTTCCCAAAATGATGCTTATTTGTCAAAACTAGATGTGTAGTTTCTCTTGTAACCTCAGTGCTCGGACAGTACAGATCAAAGGGTCCTTAGGACTTATTGCCAATCAACCCTCCTCACCAAATCAGTGCATTCCATGGCTGTGAGAAACCTGACCAACAAAAATGTAGCTGGAAGGTGAAAACCATACTTGAGGCTGTCCTCTGCACCTGCATAGTGTCCCAAGGCTGTTCAGTTAACTTTATTCTTTGTTGTTGGGCCCACAGTAGCTTTGATGGTTCATATTTACTGAGGACTAAGGTCTGTATAAGATCTAGCTTATATATTGTCCCGAGAGCCCGGTTGCAGAGACTCGGTATCTCATGAACGCAGAGAGTATGTTTGCTTCCTTATGGCCTGGGCAACTGAAAACCTCTCCACACTTCCGGTGTCTCCAGAAGCAGCTGCAATCACCTGACCTGCACAGTCAGGCCCGGAAAGATCTCAGAATCAGTAGCTGATATCTAAACATGGTTAAAATGGCTCCTGGAAATCTGGATTTGGGTTTCAGCATAAAACCTGACAATATGTCCCAGGCAGGTAGTTTTGTTCTGCCTCTGGCTTCTGAGAGGAAGAGTGGCCTCTCTACTAGAAAGCTGAACCTCCAGATTCTGGCACCTACAGAAATGCCCATGCTGTCCCCAGCCTATATTAGAGCACAAATCCTCCAAAAGCTTCCAGTGCTAAATAACCCAATGTCTCCTGCTGTACCAAAATGCAGCCTGTAAGTAACTGCGGATTTGGAGAAGACCAAAAGACCTTCCTAATCCTTGACAAATTCTTACCAAAGAAACAGAGTTAAGGTCATCAGTTCATCCCCCACCCCAAACAAGGTTGATATGCACCAGAAGCATGAGTTAGTGAAGTTCAGCATGGGGCCACCAGGGTAAGTCTCCATTGCAAAAGAACTCTGCAACCCAGAGAAGCTATGCTGAGTGGGGACAGCAAGTGAAAGGTTCAGCACTTTGACCCCGTGTGTGTGTGTGTGTGTGTGTGTGTGTGTGTGTCTGTGTGTGTCTGTGTGTCTGTGTGTCTGTGTGTGTGTGTCTGTGTGTGTGTGTCTGTGTGTGTGTGTCTGTGTGTGTGTTTGTCTGTGTGTGTGTGTGTGTGTGTGTGTGTGTCTGTGTGTGTGTGTGTGTCGTGTGTGTGTGTGTGTCTGTGTGTGTGTGTGTGTCTGTGTGTGTGTGTGTGTGTGTGTGTCTGTGTGTGTGTGTTTGTCTGTGTGTATGTGTCTGTGTGTGTGTGTCTGTGTGTGTGTGTCTGTGTGTCTGTGTGTGTCTGTGTGTGTCTGTGTGTCTGTGTGTCTGTGTGTCTGTGTGTCTGTGTGTGTGTCTGTGTCTGTGTGTGTGTGTGTCTGTGTGTGTCTCTGTGTGTGTGTTTGTCTGTGTGTGTGTCTGTGTGTCTGTGTGTGTCTGTCTGTGTGTGTGTGTCTGTGTGTGTGTGTCTGTGTGTGTGTGTCTGTGTGTGTGTGTCTGTGTGTGTGTGTGTGTCTGTGTGTGTGTCTATGTGTGTGTGTCTGTGTGTCTGTGTGTGTGTGTTTGTCTGTGTGTGTGTGTCTGTGTGTGTGTGTGTGTGTGTGTGTGTGTCTGTGTGTGTGTGTCTGTGTGTGTGTCTATGTGTGTGTGTCTGTGTGTCTGTGTGTGTGTGTTTGTCTGTGTGTGTGTGTCTGTGTGTGTGTGTGTGTCTGTGTGTGTGTGTCTGTGTGTCTGTGTGTGTGTGTCTGTGTGTGTGTGTGTGTGTGTGTGTGTGTGTGTGTGTGTCTGTGTCTGTGTCTGTGTCTGTGTGTGTCTGTGTGTGTCTGTGACACTCTCTCATCCTTGGTCTGTATCTCCAAGATGGGAATCACAAAAGCTGTTTCTGCCTCTTCCTCAAAGATGTAGTATAGACAACTAAGCTCAGTTGCTTAAAACCCGTCACTCAGTTAACACTGAGTGTTGTGGCCCCAGGTCTTTCATCAACTTGACCTGGCCTCATTAGTCAGGTTTCCCTGACCAAGGCTATCTAGACACAGCCTGGAAGGGATTGGAAGCCTCTATGGCCACAGTGAGTCTTAGGCATGAGGGAGAGGTGAGTCCTGGGGCCCCACAAGCCCGTCTATTGTTGGGGTTACAGAGCGATTGATTCTTCTTTGCTTTGTTCCTGTACCCCACATCCCCTTTCTTCTCCAGCCAGCCTCATCACTCCTGTCGTTCATAAAAGAAGCCTGAGGTAACCTAGCCCTTCGCCAATTCTCTTCTGGCAAGGTCCAAACTCTTAGACCCAGTTTAGTGCTCAGGGCACGTGGTGGCTTTGGGAGCCCTAGGACTGGTGCCTATAACTGTAAGCCTTAGGGTAGGTACTGCAGTCTGCCAACAGCCGCCCAAGGCTTGATTTCTCAGCACAGCCCTTCTGGTTTTGGGCACTTTTGTTTCCTTAAAGACTTTGAATTTCTGCTACAAAGAGTAGCAAAAGCGTCAACAATGATTAGAAATAAGAAACGATCCTGGAGAGCTGTACAGCTCTACAAAACCACTAATCATGTGGCTCCCTCTCGCATTACTCTCAGGGTCCTCCCTGCCTGACGATTTCGGCACAATATCCCTCAAACTTGCAGCCCTCACCCACCTTTCTCAAGAAGCATTCTCCTTCCTAGTTGTGCCCTGGCGAGTGAATGCTTCTTGGCTTTTCAGAGCAACTTGTGGCGGGAGCATGGTGCCCACCTTGACATAGCCAGCTTGCTCAGTTGTCCCTGGCATTAAGAATGAGGAACCATAGACTATAATGACCTCCACAGATCTTGGCCGCTGTGCAGGCTGAGTGGCTTTGTGCCAGAGTTGGCCACCCCACTCCATTCGTAGCAGGTCTGGCCAGAGAACAACCAGCCCACAGCCCTTCCATGATTTAACTCCATGCATCAAGCCAGGTCTCAAGGTTTGCTCTGCCATGCAGATCAGAGCCTAGAGATGCTAAATTGCAAGTGTGCATGTGCACACAGGGTGTGCTGGGCACAAAGTGGAGTTGAAGGAGCATAGAAGTCATTCAAGAGTGACCCCAAAGGTGTCTACCCCACCACCTTCTCTGATGTTATCACTGGGGATAGGAGCAGGGACAGCCCTGTCAGAGTAGAACTGTGCCCATGATTTTCCCTTTCTGGCTTCTTTGGGAAAGAGAGGTAAACATAACTCCCCATGGGGCCCCTGACCTCACTCTCCAGATGACTGGAACAATGAATGTGGGTGCCATGGGATGGACCTTCCCCGTGGGTTTTTTATTGTTTAGACTGGACCTGTTTTAGGACTTCAGTGTCCTCTCTGCCATCCCACTTGGCAAGCAGTGTTGCTGTTTTGCCCATGGAGTCTGCTACATATTCATACCCATTGCTGTGGACAATCTTCCTATGCCTAGTAAGCAAGCAACCTAGATGGGAATTAGAAGACTAGCACTCTGGGCCATCCTAGTCTCCTTCTATCAGTGGGACCCCGTAATTGGTGGGAGGCATCTGGGCCATCCTAGTCTCCTTCTATCAGTGGGACCCCGTAATTGGTGGGAGGTAGTAGCTACACAGCCAGTCCTGGGAGGAGACTGTAACTGAGGGTCTCAGGAGGTGTCACTTCCACCCGAGTGCTGTGAGAAAAGAGAGCTTGTCCCAGGGAGATGACAGAGAAACCACATACCTGCAGATGCTGTCCTAAGGGTTAGCATCTGAATATATGTACATAAGACTACAGTGGAAGCACCAAACCAGGCAACTCTGGGGACAAAATGCAAGGTTTATTGGGGAACCTCTCTGCCAGGCTATGCAGAGAGAACAGAAGGTAGGGAAAGCCTTGCAGTTTTAAGAAGGTATATATTGTGGCAGCAGGAGGTGTGCAAGCTGGAACAGCCTGGGAGTTAGTGTGGGGGCTTTGATCTGTGGCAGGCTTGTTTGAATTAATAGGGGGATAGATGCTCTATTGCCAGAGGTAGTTGGCCAAGGTAGAGTAAGGGAAGTAATGACTTTTTCTGACAAAAGAAATCTGCTTCACCAATTTCCTAGTTTAGGTGGCAACCTTTCTGTTTGCCTAGTCAGTGTCCAGCCTGAGCTGAGCCCAGACCATCATTTAGGACATTGTCAGCAGCGCTGCCATTTTAGGAACCCACTTTGGATATAACATTCCAGCCTTTCCTTGATAGTGAGGTCCATCTGTAGTCACCTAACTACTTCTGGCTAAATGGGAACACGTTGGGGGAGAGGGATCTTAAGAAGGCTGAAACACCAGTCACAGGTGTTAAGTCAGACGGGCAAGCTATGGTAAGAGACCTGGGGAAATTGTCAGGAGCATCTGGCTTACCAATTCTCCCCTGAGCAGTTATTATTACAAGAAGAGTGGGACCAGTAGGCCAAGGAGCTCAAGGATCCAGGGGCTCCATGCAAGGGAAACCAAAAGGAGAGCCCCACACAGGATCAGTCCCTGGAGGCCATGATTTGGGAGCCAGCAAGGCTAATGAGATGAGATTGTTTGGGA